AAGAATTCAGGCAGTTCCCAATGGAATTCAGACACTGCTCATCAGACTCAAAAAGGGTCAGCCACACAGAACATACTTGCTGGAGTGTGATAGATTGTACATCACAGCAACATACTTGCTGGAGTGTGATAGATTGTGCATCACAGCAACATACTTGCTGGAGTGTGATAGATTGTGCATCACAGCAACATACTTGCTGGAGTGTGATAGATTGTACATCACAGCAACATACTTGCTGGAGTGTGATAGATTGTGCATCACAGCAACATACTTGCTGGAGTGTGATAGATTGTACATCACAGCAACATACTTGCTGGAGTGTGATAGATTGTACATCACAGCAACATACTTGCTGGAGTGTGATAGATTGTGCATCACAGCAACATACTTGCTGGAGTGTGATAGATTGTGCATCACAGCAACATACGTGCTGGAGTGTGATAGATTGTACATCACAGCAACATACTTGCTGGAGTGTGATAGATTGTGCATCACAGCAACATACTTGCTGGAGTGTGATAGATTGTGCATCACAGCAACATACTTGCTGGAGTGTGATAGATTGTGCATCACAGCAACATACTTGCTGGAGTGTGATAGATTGTACATCACAGCAACATACTTGCTGGAGTGTGATAGATTGTGCATCACAGCAACATACTTGCTGGAGTGTGATAGATTGTGCATCACAGCAACATACTTGCTGGAGTGTGATAGATTGTGCATCACAGCAACATACGTGCTGGAGTGTGATAGATTGTACATCACAGCAACATACTTGCTGGAGTGTGATAGATTGTACATCACAGCAACATACTTGCTGGAGTGTGATAGATTGTGCATCACAGCAACATACTTGCTGGAGTGTGATAGATTGTGCATCACAGCAACATACTTGCTGGAGTGTGATAGATTGTATATCACAGCAACATACTTGCTGGAGTGTGATAGATTGTGTATCACAGCAACATACTTGCTGGAGTGTGATAGATTGTGTATCACAGCAACATACTTGCTGGAGTGATAGATTGTGTATCACAGCAACATACTTGCTGGAGTGTGATAGATAGTGCATAACAGCAACATACTTGCTGGAGTGTGATAGATTGTGTATCACAGCAACATACTTGCTGGAGTGTGATAGATTGTGCATCACAGCAACATACTTGCTGGAGTGTGATAGATTGTGTATCACAGCAACATACTAGCTGGAGTGTGATAGATTGTGTATCACAGCAACATACTTGCTGGAGTGTGATAGATTGTGCATCACAGCAACATACTTGCTGGAGTGTGATAGATTGTGTATCACAGCAACATACTTGCTGGAGTGTGACAGATTGTGCATCACAGCAACATACTTGCTGGAGTGTGATAGATTGTGTATCACAGCAACATACTAGCTGGAGTGTGATAGATTGTGTATCACAGCAACATACTTGCTGGAGTGTGACAGATTGTGCATCACAGCAACATACTTGCTGGAGTGTGATAGATTGTGTATCACAGCAACATACTTGCTGGAGTGTGATAGATTGTGTATCACAGCAACATACTTGCTGGAGTGTGACAGATTGTGCATCACAGCAACATACTTGCTGGAGTGTGATAGATTGTGCATCACAGCAACATACTTGCTGGAGTGTGATAGATTGTGCATCACAGCAAAATGAAGCTGTGAGGTTGGCCTCTTTCCTTGCTATCAGAGACACCCACTGTGAGGTTGGTCACCTTCCTTGCTATCAGAGACACCCACTGTGAGGTTGGTCTCTTTCCTAGCTATCAGAGACACCCACTGTGAGGTTGGTCTCTTTTCTTGCTATCAGAAACACCCACTGAGAGGTTGGCCTCCTTCCTTGCTATCAGAGACACCCACTGTGAGGTTGGTCTCTTTCCTAGCTATCAGATACACCCACTGTGAGGTTGGTCTCTTTCCCAGCTATCAGAGACACCCACTGTGAGGTTGGTCTCTTTCCTAGCTATCAGATACACTCACTGTGAGGTTGGTCTCTTTCCTTGCTATCAGAGACACCCACTGTGAGGTTGGTCTCTTTCCTAGCTATCAGAGACACCCACTGTGAGGTTGGTCTCTTTCCTAGCTATCAGATACACTCACTGTGAGGTTGGTCTCTTTCCTTGCTATCAGAGACACCCACTGTGAGGTTGGTCTCCTTTCTTGCTATCAGAGACACCCAGTCAGGGGACAGAGTCCAGCCTTAGAGCTAGAGTGGGACCATAATTCTTCCTCTGCTAGGAACCTGTCAACCTGTGGCCCTGTACCACTGTGTTGACAAGACACACGAGGCAACAAGTCATACAACCAACACCTGCTTACGATAGAATATCAGCACCAAGGTCAACAATATGATGGAGAAGGAGAAGAACTGTAATCCTGTCTTTAGGAAACACAAAGACTTCCATGAAGATGACAAACTCACCAGCTGAAGTTCTCCACGACTGTTGGCCAAAAAGCTTTCCTCTATCAGTTCATTGACTGTTCTCTCCAAGTGTCGGATCTTCTCCTCAGGGCTAGAGAGAACAATATCTTCTGTCAGTGAAGTGAACATACCTACTAAACATAAATGGACACTGCTATATGTCAGTGAACCCATCACCCACTGTCTGCAGCAAGATTTCATTTGTTACAAAGAGTCACTGATAATCACCACAACAGCCATCACAAGCAGTCACTGACAATCACTACAACAACTCTCACAAACAGTCACTGATAATCACCACAACAACCATCACAAACAGTCACTGACAATCACCACAACAACCATCACAAACAGTCACTGACAATCACCACAACAACTCTCACAAACAGTCACTGACAATCACCACAACAACCATCACAAACAGTCACTGACAATCACCACAACAACTCTCACAAACAGTCACTGACAATCACCACAACAACCATCACAAACAGTCACTGACAATCACCACAACAACTCTCACAAACAGTCACTGACAATCACCACAACAACCATCACAAACAGTCACTGACAATCACCACAACAACCATCACAAACAGTCACTGACAATCACCACAACAACCATCACAAACAGTCACTGACAATCACCACAACAACCATCACAAACAGTCACTGACAATCACCACAACAACCATCACAAACAGTCACTGACAATCACCACAACAACTATCACAAACAGTCACTGACAATCACCACAACAACTCTCACAAACAGTCACTGACAATCACTACAACAACTATCACAAATAGTCACTGACAATCACCACAACAACCATCACAAACAGTCACTGACAATCACCACAACAACTCTCACAAACAGTCACTGACAATCACCACAACAACCATCACAAACAGTCACTGACAATCACCACAACAACTATCACAAATAGTCACTGACAATCACTACAACAACCATCACAAACAGTCACTGACAATCACCACAACAACTCTCACAAACAGTCACTGACAATCACCACAACAACTATCACAAACAGTCACTGACAATCACTACAACAACCATCACAAACAGTCACTGACAATCACCACAACAACCATCACAAACAGTCACTGACAATCACCACAACAACCATCACAAACAGTCACTGACAATCACCACAACAACCATCACAAACAGTCACTGACAATCACCACAACAACCATCACAAACAGTCACTGACAATCACTACAACAACTCTCACAAACAGTCACTGACAATCACTACAACAACTCTCACAAACAGTCACTGACAATCACTACAACAACTCTCACAAACAGTCACTGACAATCACTACAACAACTCTCACAAACAGTCACTGACAATCACCACAACAACTCTCACAAACAGTCACTGACAATCACTACAACAACTCTCACAAACAGTCACTGACAATCACTACAACAACCACCAGAAACAGTCACTAACAATCACTACAACAACTACAAGAAACAGTCACTGACAATCACTACAACAACTCTCACAAACAGTCACTGACAATCACTACAACAACCACCAGAAACAGTCACTAACAATCACTACAACAACCACAAGAAACAGTCACTAACAATCACTACAACAACCATCATAAACAGTCACTGACAATCACTATAACAATTATCACAAACAGTCACTGACAATCACTATAACAATTATCACAAACAGTCACTGACAATCACTATAACAATTATCACAAACAGTCACTGACAATCACTATAACAATTATCACAAACAGTCACTGACAATCACTATAACAATTATCACAAACAGTCACTGACAATCACTATAACAATTATCACAAACAGTCACTGACAATCACCACAACAACTATCACAAATGTCAACACAGACTTATCACCATCTAGTAGGTCCTTTGTAACCTCTTCAGGGCCCATTATGAAATAGGTGGTGCTAGCAGCAATAACTACGGTTTCAACTTAACTACAAATGAGTGGCACTAGCTCTTCTTTATTCCTGTGCCAGTGACAATCACAAGGAATGTCCCCCACTGTCCCATTTGACAAACTAATCAACAAACAAACTAGTCCGAGCACAATCCAGAAATATGCATGTGCATGCAGTAAATGCATAAGGCTGCCTCTAGAGATGCAAACACCAAAATTGACCACCAGGATTGCAATGGAAGTGATGGAAGTAAGTAGTCATTTATAATGAGCTGGCCGTAAACAAGCACAATGTATTGCATATGGTGTTTGTCCAGCCCAAGCACAAACAAGCCATTTGTGAATATCATGGTACAACAGCTCAAGCACAAACAGGCCATTTGTGAATATCATGGTACAACAGCTCAAGCACAAACAAGCCATTTGTGAATATCATGGTACAACAGCTGTAGGCACAAACAAACCAATTGTGAATATCATGGTACAACAGCTCAAGCACAAACAAGCCATTTGTGAATATCATGGTACAACAGCCCAAGCACAAACAAGCCATTTGTGAATATCATGGTACAACAGCTCAAGCACAAACAAGCCATTTGTGAATATCATGGTACAACAGCCCAAGCACAAACAAGCCATTTGTGAATATCATGGTACAACAGCTCAAGCACAAACAAGCTATTTCTGAATATCATGGTACAACAGCTGTAGGCACAAACAAACCAATTGTGAATATCCTGGTACAACAGCCCAGGCACAAATAAAAAACACTGCAGTAAAATTGCAGAGTTTGTTCCCTATGGGACACCTTCATTTTGCTCAACAAAAATTGAAAAACCTACAAGAAGTCCCTTGTGAGTCCGCAAGATTGGACCACAAGCCATCAAAAACACTCTACAACAACAGCGAGACGTGTCTATGGTTCAAGAGGCCTTGATATATATATCCCTTAACACCCAAAGCACTAAATGAAGAAATGAAGAAGAAGTCATCTGTGATTGGTCAACACTTACAGCTATGCTAACTGCTTTAAAGAGGCAAGCCATCAGTTATGAAGTATGTACTGAAGGAGAAGAAGTAGAGGGGCAGCAGCAGATAGAGTATGTACTGAAGGAGAAGAAGTAGAGGGGCAGCAGCAGATAGAGTATGATAGAGTATGTACTGAAGGAGAAGAAGTAAAGGGGCAGTAGCAGATAGAGTATGTACTGAAGGAGAAGAAGTAGAGGGGCAGCAGCAGATAGAGTATGTACTGAAGGAGAAGAAGTAGAGGGGCAGTAGCAGATAGAGTATGTACTGAAGGAGAAGTAGAGGAGCAGCAGCAGATAGAGTATGTACTGAAGGAGAAGAAGTAGAGGGGCAGCAGCAGATAGAGTTTGTACTGAAGAGAAGAAGTAGAGGGGCAGCAGCAGATAGAGTATGTACTGAAGTAGAAGTAGAGGGGCAGCAGCAGATAGAGTATGTACTGAAGGAGAAGAAGTAGAGGGGCAGCAGCAGATAGAGTATGTACTGAAGGAGAAGAAGTAGAGGGGCAGCAGCAGATAGAGTATGTACTGAAGGAGAAGAAGTAGAGGGGCAGCAGCAGATAGAGTATGTACTAAAGGAAAAGTAGAGGGGCAGCAGCAGATAGAGTATGTACTAAAGGAGAAGAAGTAGAGGGGCAGCAGCAGATAGAGTATGTACTGAAGGAGAAGTAGTAGAGGGGCAGCAGCAGATAATGTACTGAAGGAGAAGAAGTAGAGGGGCAGTAGCAGATAGAGTATGTACTGAAGGAGAAGAAGTAGAGGGGCAGTAGCAGATAGAGTATGTACTGAAGGAGAAGTAGAGGGGCAGCAGCAGATAGAGTATGTACTGAAGGAGAAGAAGTAGAGGGGCAGCAGCAGATAGAGTATGTACTGAAGGAGAAGAAGTAGAGGGGCAGCAGCAGATAGAGTATGTACTAAAGGAGAAGAAGAAAAGGGGCAGCAGCAGATAGAGTATGATAGAGTATGTACTGAAGGAGAAGAAGTAAAGGGGCAGTAGCAAATAGAGTATGTACTGAAGGAGAAGAAGTAGAGGGGCAGCAGCAGATAGAGTATGATAGAGTATGTACTGAAGGAGAAGAAGTAGAGTGGCAGCAGCAGATAGAGTATGTACTGAAGGAGAAGAAGTAGAGGGGCAGCAGCAGATAGAGTATGTACTGAAGGAGAAGAAGTAAAGGGGCAGTAGCAGATAGAGTATGTACTGAAGGAGAAGAAGTAAAGGGGCAGCAGCAGATAGAGTATGATAGAGTATGTACTGAAGGAGAAGAAGTAGAGGGGCAGCAGCAGATAGAGTATGTACTGAAGGAGAAGAAGTAGAGGGGCAGCAGCAGATAGAGTATGTACTGAAGGAGAAGAAGTAGAGGGGCAGCAGCAGATAGAGTATGTACTGAAGACGAAGTAGAGGGGCAGCAGCAGATAGAGTATGTACTGAAGGAGAAGAAGTAGAGGGGCAGCAGCAGATAGAGTATGTACTGAAGGAGAAGAAGTAGAGGGGCAGCAGCAGATAGAGTAAGTACTGAAGGAGAAGAAGTAGAGGGGCAGCAGCAAATAGAGCATGATGACTGTCGAAATAGAAATAACAGTAAAGATGAAAAAATGTCCGCATAAGGTCTGCTGACCTGTCTTCTGCTTTAGCCTCCAGTGGTGGCGCTGGCCCTTTGCCTGATTGGTTGAAGGGGTCAAAGGGCACTCCGGCTGAAAAAGAATTATGAAAACTTCAGTTGCAGTGTGTGACTGACAGACACAACAGAACATATTCAGATGGAAACATAAATAACGATTCAGAAAGGTATAGGTATTAAAAGATAAAAGAGAGAAGCAGACAAAGACAGAGACACATTTTTTAGCACCAGAGAAATACAATAAGAGACAGAGAGATACACATGGGAAAGGAAAAAGGGAGGGGGGGGGAGAGAATACAACCTCACTGAGCAGTAATACATACGTGTGAGGAACAATGTAACAAACTACAACAAGAGACCGGAAAAGAAACAGGAATAACACAGACAGTGATAAAGAAACAAGACAGGCTTCAAAAAGAGACAGTTAAAGGAACATGTAGCAAAGAGACAACTGCAGTGACAAAAATAAAAAAGAAATAAATGTTACAAAGAAACTGGTACAGAAACATATGCACCAAAAACCCAGACACATACTTTAAAAGATTATGGAGTACAAACAAACAGGTACAGAAAAATATGCACCAAAGACCCAGACAAAGGACAGACACCCACTTTATAAGGTTATAGAGTACAAAGAAACCCAGAGCAACTTACGTCTGTTGCCAGCAGAAGTAAAGCCGGCAGCTCTGACGGCTGTCATGGGTCGAGCCTGGCCGGCTTGGATAGCAATCCCACTGCCAGGCCTGCCCATGGATGAAGATAATGCCATGCGTCCTCTGGCTGCTGTTGCCAGAGTTGTGGCTCAAAGTTTGGCTTGAGTCTGTGAATAATTTTCAGGTAATTTACTGCAACTGGTCATTAACCTATTCTCAGGAAGATATTCTGGTTACCCCTTGTCTTCTACATGAATATAAAGCATTTATATTGTATAAATATTCAAATATAGTTAGATTTTATAACTTTGTCCATGGCAGCTGTCAACTATGTGCTCACTTTAAGGTCTACTGTCAATGATTGCAGACTATCACAGCTCCATGATCCCCATCTGTCAATGATTCCAGACTCTCACAGCTCCATGATCCCCATCTGTCAATGATTGCAGACTCTCACAGCTCCATGATCCCCATCTGTCAATGATTGCAGACTCTCACAGCTCCATGATCCCCATCTGTCAATGATTGCAGACTCTCACAGCTCCATGATCCCCATCTGTCAATGATTGCAGACTCTCACAGCTCCATGATCCCCATCTGTCAATGATTGCAGACTCTCACAGCTCCATGATCCCCATCTGTCAATGATTGCAGACTCTCACAGCTCCATGATCCCCATCTGTCAATGATTGCAGACTCTCTGTTCCAGAGATCCCCATCTGTCAATGATTGCAGACTCTCACAGCTCCATGATCCCCATCTGTCAATGACTGCAGACTCTCATGGTTCCAGTTATCCCCATCTGTCAATGATTGCAGACTCTCATGGTTCCAGATATATCATCTGTCAATGATTGCAGACTCTCATGGTTCCAGAGATCCCCATCTGTCAATGATTCCAGATTCTTACAGCTCCATGATCCCCATCTGTCAATGATTGCAGACTCTCATGGTTCCAGAGATCCCCATCTGTCAATGATTCCAGATTCTCACAGCTCCATGATCCCCATCTGTCAATGATTGCAGACTCTCACTGTTCCAGAGATCCCCATCTGTCAATGATTGCAGACTCTCACTGTTCCAGAGATCCCCATCTGTCAATGATTGCAGACTCTCACTGTTCCAGAGATCCCCATCTGTCAATGATTGCAGACTCTCACAGCTCCATGATCCCCATCTGTCAATGATTGCAAACTCTCACAGCTCCATGATCCCCATCTGTCAATGATTGCAGACTCTCACAGCTCCATGATCCCCATCTGTCAATGATTCTAGACTCTCATGGTTCCAGAGATCTCCATCTGTCAATGATTCCAGATTCTTACAGCACCATGATCCCCATCTGTCAATGATTGCAGACTCTCACAGCTCCATGATCCCCATCTGTCAATGATTGCAGACTCTCACAGCTCCATGATCCCCATCTGTCAATGATTGCAGACTCTCATGGTTCCAGAGATCTCCATCTGTCAATGATTCCAGACTCTCATAGTTCCAGAGATCCCCATCTGTCAATGATTGCAGACTTTCATGGTTCCAGAGATCCCCATCTGTCAATGATTGCAGACTCTCATGGTTCCAGAGATCCCATCTGTCAATGATTCCAGACTCTCACTGTTCCATTGATCCCCATCTGTCAATGATTGCAGACTCTCACTGTTCCAGAGATCCCCATCTGTCAATGATTCCAGACTCTCACTGTTCCAGAGATCCCCATCTGTCAATGATTGCAGACTCTCACTGTTCCAGAGATCCCCATCTGTCAATGATTGCAGACTCTCACTGTACCAGAAATCCCCATCTGTCAATGATTGCAGACTCTCATGGTTCCAGAGATATCATCTGTCAATGATTGCAGACTCTCACTGTTCCAGAGATCCCCATCTGTCAATGATTGCAGACTCTCATAGTTCCATAGATCCCCATCTGTCAATGATTGCAGACTCTCACTTTACCAGAGATCCCCATCTGTCAATGATTGCAGACTCTCATGGTTCCAGAGATCCCCATCTGTCAATGATTGCAGACTCTCATGGTTCCAGAGATCCCCATCTGTCAATGATTGCAGACTCTCATGGTTCCAGAGATCCCCATCTGTCAATGATTTTAAACTCTTACAGTTCTGGTGATCCCCAGCTTGAGGCTGATGGATCTGTTTACCCACTGCCTCATACAAAAGCATAACTCTGACAGTAGATCAATACATGATTTTTCTCAAGAGATTGGTCTATACTTGGGACCTAATATGTCTGTCCATTTTTAACTGTACGTAATATTTATATTTTCTTCTTTGTGTTCACCGAATGTAAATTTTGGCAGCAAGTTCAGGTTGTTCATCCCACTGTAGAATTTGGTTTTGTTCAGGAACTTGAGTCATGTGTGCACATCCATTTTACAGATCTGGCTTATCTGTATGCAGAATGCTGGTTCCTCGCCTTTCAGGCAGATGCACAAAGGGAATATGAATCAAACACACTCATTGCTCTGATGATCTGAACACCCACTAGCCACCCTCACAGCCAGAGTGAAACCCGAGCCTGTAGTCTCCATCTTCATACCTGAACCTGTAGTCTTCATCTACCTGAAGCTATTATCCCCATTTCATTAGCAAAGACACCCCTTCCCTGACTCACTGAGAATCTTGACATATTATTTCAACAAATAAAACAACTTGTTAATGGACATGGCACAATCAAGATTTCCCTCCAGAAAGAAATGAGTAATGGTAGGACACATACATTTTCCTCAAGAAAGAACGAGAAATAAATTAAAAAAAAAAAAAAAAACAACAAACCAACAGACTTTATCTGTGTGATTAAAACAAATTATTGTATTAAAGTCTGAAAATGTGTACATACAGGTGGTCGTCTGCCATGGCTTGTCCTAAGAACTGCCTTCTGGAAAGTCTCATCATGGACTAAATCCTGTAGCAAAAACAAGAGAACATCACATCACATCCCACCACATCACACACCACATCACATTCCACCACATCAGATCACATCCCACCACACAGATCACATCAGATCACATCCCACCACATCAGATCACATCGCATCCCACCACATCAGATCACACCACAACAGATCACATCCCACCACATCAGATCACAAAACAACAGATCACATCCCACCACATCAGATCATTTCCCACCACACCAGATCACATCTGATCACATCCCACCACATCAGATCACATCCCACCACATCAGATCACATCACAGCTGAGCGAATCATTATTACAATTTTAAACAGTTTCCAGTTGACCTATATTCTGACTGCCAGCGATTGAAGCTCTCTGCTCGTCACAACACTCAGACAGTGCTGAAAGGTCCCCTATACCTTCACCATAAGAGGAAATGTCAAATGCTTGATTAGATTCAGCAGTCTAAATACCAGATCAATTACTTTTTGAAAATACCATATTTGCTAGAGAGACTGCAGCAACTAATCGATAAATCTGCTCATTACTACACACACCTGGACGTCCTCTGCAGACTAACGACCAAAACTGCTTAAATAAAAACAAGTTTAACCTCATCCACAATCAGTAACCAAGTTCTTGTATTGAGATAATTAAAAAAAAAACCCGGATCTTCAGGTCAGCACAGACCTACCTCAGTGTCAAGAGACCCACCTCAGTGTCAAGAGACCTATCTCAGGGTCAGGAGACCTACCTCAGTGTCAAGAGACCCACCTCAGTGTCAAGAGACCTACCTCAGTTTTAAGAGACCTACCTCAGTGTCAAGAGCAGCATTGTAGTCATTAAAGCCAGCGTAGTCATCTTCCTCCTCACCGACTAGGTGGATTTGATCCATCATGTTGATGCGGTTCATCATCTCTTGCTGTAACAATTTGATTCTATTAGATAATCTTATTCTAACTTCCAATCTTTTCCAGTCAGAAAAGCAGATATGCTTCTCCCTATCATTAGCAAAAACATAAATCTTGTTCTAACTGACAATGACGGCAAGACACCCCAGGTAAAGAAAGATCAAGATAGACAACGTGTTGTTGCTGGATGCAAGGATCAAATAAATAAACAAGACAAATATCAATTAAAAAAAAAAAAAAACTAAGAATATCCATTGTTGATTGTAACCATTCCCCCCCCCCCCCCCCCCCAGTTGTAGACATCCCCCATCCTTACCACATTTCAATGATATCAAATCTAATAATTTTCGAGGAAGTTTGGCCTGGGAACAACTAGGCAAACTGGGTGTTTTTTGGGGTTCTTTCCAAATAGCTGATCATACATGATGTCACGTGACAGTCCAATAATTTTTAGGGTGGTAAGAACCGGGTTTCCCAGCGGTCTGTATTTCCCGGCTTTCTGTGTGTCTTACAAGGCGCTGCCAAGGTTTTCGCAGTTTCTTCTTCCCGTGGCTTCTCTCTAGCGGCTTGTGTTCAGTCTTCATCGTCATGAATGTCCTTGAATTAGCTGCATCGGTGACTGACAAGAAGAGCAGCATTGCTTTCCTGCAACATCATGGCATTCTGCATAGTACCAAGCGTTGTGACAATAATTATGCAATGATGTTATCGCTGACCGAACGCCACGATCGAGAGCGATGTGGAAAGTCTACCTGTATCCAAACATACTGTTCAGGCAAGGAACATGGCTGGAAGGGTCGCGCCTGCCTTACCGACAGATCACTCTGTTTCTGTACTACTGATCTCACGAGTTGACAAACACTGAATTTTGCCAAGCAGAGCTGGGCATGTCGAAGAATACAACGGTGGAGTGGAGCAACAACTTACTGGGGGTTTGTGCCACTACATTATTGTTGAATCCTGCCGTGACCAGCGGAGAGAACACCACTGTTGAGATTGATGAAAGATGGGAAAATCATGTAGGATGAGTGCTTCTAGAACAGTGGGTATTTGGTGGCATCTGTCACAAAACAGGTGAGTGCTTTATGTTTTGTGTTCCAGTCAGAAAAGCAGATATGCTTCTCCCAATCATTAGCAAAAAACATAAATCCTAACCCAAACACTAACGTATAAAATTATTCTGAAAGTCAGTATGTTAACTCAACAGTATATGCATCTAGAATGATTGGCACTTTTTAGGGCCCCCCCCCCAAAGTACCCCAATTGGCAATTTATCCTGCCGATTGCACACACAGAGTTTGACCCAAACAAATTGCAAAAGAACATCCTCCTCCTCCCCGGCAAAACAGACAACCATGACAAACTGCATCCTCCCAACTGCACATAGAGTCCACAACACACAGAACAAGAGTCCACAACACACAGAACAACAATGCACAGCACACAGAACAAGAATGCACAACACACAGAACAAGAATGCACAGCACACAGAACAAGAATCCACAACACACAGAACAAGAATCCACAACACACAGAACAAGAGTCCACAACACACAGAACAAGAATCCACAACACACAGAACAAGAATCCACAACACACAGAACAAGAGTCCACAACACACAGAACAAGAATCCACAACACACAGAACAAGAGTCCACAACACACAGAACAAGAGTCCACAACACACAGAACAAGAGTCCACAACACACAGAACAAGAGTCCACAACACACAGAACAAGAATCCACAACACACAGAACAAGAGTCCACAACACACAGAACAAGAATCCACAACACACAGAACAAGAATCCACAACACACAGAACAAGAGTCCACAACACACAGAACAAGAATCCACAACACACAGAACAAGAGTCTACAACACACAGAACAAGAGTCCACAACACATAGAACAAGAGTCCACAACACACAGAACAAGAGTGCACAACACACAGAACAAGAATGCACAACACACAGAACAAGAATGCACAACACACAGAACAAGAATGCACAGTACACAGAACAAGAATGCACAACACACAGAACAAGAATGCACAGCACACAGAACAAGAATCCACAACACACAGAACAAGAATCCACAACACACAGAACAAGAGTCTACAACACACAGAACAAGAATCCACAACACACAGAACAAGAGTCTACAACACACAGAACAAGAGTCCACAACACACAGAACAAGAGTCCACAACACACAGAACAAGAGTCCACAACACACAGAACAAGAATGCACAACACACAGAACAAGAATGCACAACACACAGAACATGAATGCACAACACACAGAACAAGAATGCACAACACACAGAACAAGAATGCACAGTACACAGAACAAGAATGCACAACACACAGAACAAGAATGCACAGCACACAGAACAAGAATGCACAGCACACAGAACAAGAATGCACAGTACACAAAACAGAAGCACAGAAAGGTGAGAACTGCACAGCACAAAACTGCAGGGCAAACAAAATGCCAAATTACTACACTATACGCTTTATCTAGCTACCATGAAATATTAGACTGTCCAGTGACCTGTGGATTTCCCCTGTTTGTTGTCGCATATTGGAGAGTACTGACAATTAATTAGCTGAGTGATGTGGCTATATCATATCAAGTCTGTCACCCACAACTTTCGACTCTCCTCCGAACTTCTACCCCATATTATGGTGGCCAAGCAAATATTGGCAAAACTAGGATTACCTGACAATTTCAAGAGATGCAACACTGCAGACAATAGTACCAGACGATAATTGCGACCGTTGACAATTTCAAGCGTTTCTACGATAATAGCCACATGGCGGGGAGACTACGTGCTCCGACGTTGTTGTCTTCACACTTTTCGGCATGCGCTAAATGCGGTTAAACTCATCGCCGACAGTATTCCCCGCGCCGCGCATAGAGGCATGGATGGGGATCTAAACTAGATGCCTGGGACTCACAAGCAAATAAATTAGAGGAAGTTGCAGGAGATGCGGTAGCTGCTGTTTATGATGCACATCCATCTAGTTTAGCACCCCATCCGCCCGCGTGTAGCGGCGCAGGGTATATTGTTGGCGGTGCGGCACAGTCGCAGAAACATGTCCACAATTAACATATCGCTGAGACCCTGTTAGAGCATTTGTTTCGTTATTTGGAGCTGATCCTAGTTTTGCCGCGACTTATTCCTTGGCAGAAAGTCCGCATTTTACACACGACTGAGGCCCTGTTAGGCTATTTGCTTAGCCGCCATAATTTCGGATAGAAGTTCGGAGGAGAGCCAACTTTTTTATTGATTGCAAGAAATGCAAAATGTAGCGACTACAGTTTCGGAAATTTGCGATCTTTTTGGCAAATTCCGTTACCATGGAAACCGTTTGAAACTTGCTTCGGAAATGTCAGCTGGGGTTTCGGGATGGGTCCTAATCTCTCATGAAATTTTGCGATTGGTGTGATTTTCACCAGCTATAAACAGCTGAAAACGGCGGGAACGACCCCGATTAACAGCGCATGTGTACGACAGCCGGACGTCCTCTGTTTTTCTGTTACATCAGTTTGATTGAAAATAGCGGTTTAGTATTCAAGGTTGGCTTTAGGCTTTAACTGTTACTAAACATGGTAATGTTAGTTATAATTGAATTTTTCAGGCAATCGCTATTATGTGGCTGTGTTTCATTCGTCATTGGCTGCCATCTTGTCCAATGACAGTCCAATGTAAACAAAGCCAAAACGATAAGTGCGCAGTTTGGTTGCGCAGAGAAAACTTCTTGTTTCTGGGAGGCAAGTTTTAGCAGCTGTTTTTTGCATCTAATCTTCACAAAAACCTACATATCTCAGCTCATAAATGACATACAAGCCTAAATGAGGTACCGTTGGAAAGAGATTGTTTACAGCTATCTAACTGTGCTGGTTTTATTGGTGTAGAGGGCATTTTGAAAATTTGACTAAAGTATCTAGGGACTACAGTTTCGACAATTTGCGGTCTTTTCGGCAAGTTCCGTTACCCGGAAACCGTTCAGAACTTGTTCGGGAAATCTCGGCTGGTTTCCGTATGGGTCCAAATCTCTCATGAAATTTTGCCATTGGTGGGAATTTGGACCAGCTATAAATAGCTGAAAACAGCGTGGGGGAACCCGATTAACAGCGCATGTCTACGACAGCCGGACTTCTCTGTTTTTCTGTTAGTCATCAGTTTGATTGAAAATAGCGGTAAATTCGAGGTTGGCTTTAGGCCTTAAACATTACCAGTTGTGGTAATGCTAGTTACAGTTGAATTCTCCGTCCAATTTTACATTTGCATATTAAATTTTTTTACCGACTCTGGCTGTTTAGATTTACAGTGACATTTTTTAGGCAATCGCATGCGGCTGAGTGAGCTGAGTCTCACTGCCTGCCATCTTGTCCAATGACAGTCCAATGTCAACAAAGCCGATACAGAACTGCGCAGTAGGTTGCGCAGTCAAAAAACTTCTTGTTTCTGGGTCACAAGTTTTAGCGGCTGTTTCTTACATCTCATCTCCACAAAAACCTACATATCTCAGCTCAGAAATGACATACAAGCCTAAATGAGGTACCATTGGAAAGAGATTGTTTACAGCTATCTAACTGTGCTGGTTTTATTGGTGTAGAGGGCATTTTAAAAATTTGACTGAAGTACCTAAAGTATCTACAAAAAATGGGCTAGTCTAGTCCAAGCAGCCTATGGTTATGGCTAGAGTTTCCCTATAATTTATTTTTTGAAAAAAAGCAAATAACTAACAGGTTAGACATTTACAACGAACAGAAATGTTTGAACAGAGACATCTTACAAGTCTTGTAATCTTACAGCTTGCGGGTGCCTGTAATCAACAGATGATCATTAAAACAAACACAACTTCTCCGGGCGCTGCGTTCAGACTTGGAGTCTGTTGGAATTCTCCAGCTTCCGGTGGTTCCAGGCATGCGCAACAAGCAAGCCCGTTACCAGGAGCTCGTTTACTTGAGAGATA